TCTGATGCATGCGATACCACCCTCAATAATAAAATTTAATAGAAGAGATTTTACCTTCAAGATTTTACTTTTACAAACTCCCAACAAATGAATAAAATCAAGTCGCGATCGGTATTGATCAGGTACATCTTCAAGAGAAAAGTAAATCATAGATAATTTATGTTGATCTTTTTTAACTCCAATAGGATTGGTCACTCCTATATCGTCGATGTAAAGTTGAAGTAATAAACTACCATCATCAATTCTGCTACCATAGGCTCCATCTCGATAAGAAAACATTAAATCATCATCCATATCAGTTGCTAACCGTTGTGCCTGAACATTTTGAAGAATTTCAGCAAGCATAGGTTGAGAACATAACATCAAGGATAAAGTTTTTTGAATGGGGATAAAATATCCTTGTTCTAGCTCTTCATTCTTTTCTGAAACAATTATTTCTTGAGGTGGAGTGTAATCAAAAAATTGTTCACATCCTTTAATAAATTGATATTCATTTTTGGTAATGTTTTGTATTTCATTACATACATTTTTCATTATGTCTTTCAGTGTTTTTAGTTCAACAATTTGAGATAGTTTTTCTTTCGATGTTGTCGAACTGCAACGATTACAATTAGAGTTAAACGATTGAGCTTCAAACAAATATTCTAAGTGATTGATAAGTGTTACTAAATAAGAAGATATAGTGTCAATGGTGTTCTTTGGTAAGTAAAATTCTTCACGAAGTTGTAGAATAAATGATGTATACAAACGTTTAACATCTAACATTGTTACTAATTTATGATCTTGACTTGTAATAGATGATAATGTATTTGCTTCAGAGTCGTTTTCACTATCAAATTTCGATAAATCTATAGTATTATCATTATCAAAGTAATTGAACGTATCATCACCATCATCATAAATAAGACTTGAATCAAAACTTGAATTAGTATCTTCAGGATTATCATTCGTAGAAATAAGAGTAGTATTGCAGATATTTTTTTCTGATGTATAAAGTTCAGAAGAATGTCGACGATACACATCAGCCTTGTATGCCGAATAAGTACGATAAGCAACACCACATGTTTCGTTTAAATCACATGTCATACGAAATCCAGCGTCATTTTGATGGTATATTGTTATATGACGAAAAAATTTCGAGAATGTTTTGAATTCCCATTGTGTATGACATAGTGAGCAAATAAATGTTGACATGATTATTGTATAAGAAACAAATTGATACGTAATCTAATGATTAGATCGTGAGCAAAATACACTTTCTGTCGTACGTTTATTTTTATTTTTCTATTAGGGGTTTTCAAACCAAATAAAATGAATGAAGAGCAATTGCAATACGAAATTCAAAATGACACCCCATATACACTCATTTATTCTTTTTCTTCGCAGTGCACGTGTATCTAATACATTGCAAGAAAAATAGAAGAGAACTAAATTAAAAGAAAGTATGCAACAATTTCGTTGTTAAGTTTATTGCGCAATAGTTTCTCGCGACATAAATTGTAATTGAATTAGGTCGCAACGAAAAAATATTTTCAATTAAAATAAATAATAAAACTCACCTTCCAAACGAGTTATGATTGTATCATCATCAAGAAATGATCTACACCAATCCAAAACTTGTGTGCAGGACCAATTTATTGTGTAACAATAAAACAATCTGAAATAAAAAACAGTTATTGTATTCATGAAGGAGTCTAGTACACATTCATAACAATTCTGCACTTTTAAAATTTTCAAATAAATCACGAAGGACACTATTGTTTCTGTTAAGAACGTGAAACAATATGTAAAGAGCATTCTATTATGTATAAGTCACACATGCATATGCACTGGCGGTTTGTTAGTAACAAAAAATATTACAATCACTAGCATGAAAGTTTTACATAATAAAAAAAATGAAAAATAAAAACTAATGTTATGTTATTTATTGATTAAGAAGATATTTTGAAGTAAAATTTAAAAAATGAACTGAGCAGCAATTTTTATTTCGGTTAGTTGCGATGATTTGCTTTTTAGGGCTACAATAATAGTACAATTACTGAGTATGATAGCCTATCATGTTTTAAAACTGAAACTTGAATAAAAGTGAACTAAGATGAAATATCATCGTTACCATGTTGACCAGCACGTGAATGAACATAACCAAAATAAAACTAAATTTAGTTTCTTACAATTTTGAATTTTTTTCAACAAATATTGCTTGTACATCTAAAATAGTTTTCGTTATATTTAGTTCTATAAAACTGATTAAGTTGGCAATAGTGCTACATGGGCTCTATCTAGATTTGAAGAGAGTACAAAATACTCATTCTACAGCAGGTAATAACGTAGACAAAAAATGTTGCAATGCTAATTTGTTTTTACTTTTTTAAAAGATACTATATTAGAAACGAATATTAATCAGAAGACTATAATGATGATACACTCGATTGTAACACATAACAAATTATTTTTACAGCATAATAAGGCACAAGTTTTAGTAAATAATAAGTGCTTTAAAGTAAGTCCTTCTGTTTGATTGATTTCTTTTGCTTTTTGTTAAAAATGCAATGAAGTATTGAAGTTCGTACATTGGCTAAAGAAACTGGAGTTATTCTGTTTATAATCATTCACTAAGTCCATTAAAGCATTTGTTATTCGGCATCTCTCATAATTTCAATGGTACATCGGCCTTCTGTAACAAATTTAAAAAAGTTTGCATGATTAGCCAAAATATTAGAAATAGTATACCAAATCAATGGATCTAAAACAATAAGTGTATAAGAAAAGTACGAAATTAAAATTAATCTATTTCAATAAATCTTCAAAGCCATAATCTTAGAATTGCAGTCATAAAGTCGAATAAGCATTAATTCTGAACCTAAAATAGTAAAAAACATGCTCGGTGCATATGTAGATTTTCTTGCAAAAAAGCTATGCTGCAAATTCTAGTTTTCCAACCGAAATACGCAATAGTATTTATTTCAATAGTCGTTGACATTCTGTTCATTTTATATCCACTTTGTGTTTGATATTGCAAGCCTCAATATGTATCTTCATAATAAAGTAGTACAAATTAAATCGAATTAAATTCTTCTTGTCCAATTGCCATACTAATGTATATTGGCTCGTCTAATCATATCAACACGCGATAGATGGAGTCATGAATCTTTTAGACTAGCAAATACTGAGAAAATATCAGTGTAATCTTAGTAAAAAAAAACTAAACATAATCATTCAATACTTGTTTTCAAAAACTGGCAATTTTTTGAAATATGACACAAAACATTCATTTTGTACTAAACTATCTTACATGCATTGATAAAGGTATCTTTCCATAATCGAATCAAGAAACATTTTCATGGAATGTTACGTAGGCCAGGCTATCGTGAAAGAATAAAATAAACATGAGTAACTCCAAAACAATAGATTCATTTCTGTTTCATGCATTATGCTTAGTACGGAAAGCTAAATGGTATTCTTTGTAAGGCCGAACTGGATGGAATACATTAAAAACAATCCATCAATATCAGCGAATGAATTTTTTTATCTTATCCCGAAAATATTTTGTTTTAATTGCAAGAAAATGTTTCGTTTTAAAAAAGTATTTCTTTTACCGATGTTCGAATTTTCAACACATTAGAATAAATAAAATATTTAACTCCAGAAACCAGTTTCTTTTCTTGTGGATTATAACAGTCTGTAACTAAATGACAGTACAAGAAGCAGTACATTACATAAACTTGCCATCTGAAATTGAAAATTACTGCTAATTATATTTTCATTTCATCATAGATATTTATTACTTATGCGTCATTCAAAGAAAAGATGCTTTTTGATACAATAAAAGAAAGAATTTTGCATAAGAAATTCAAAATGCTACCACAGAAATTCAAGTTTGCAACGCCTTTGAAATAGATGTTCCAATTAAAAAGATTGATTGTGTAGAGTGCAACACGATCATTAGACACTCGAATTACAGTGATTGATGATAATGCCTATATCAATATTGTCAATTAAAAAGAAAGAAAAATGAAGCGATGCTTTAAATTCATTTTAAACTAAAGAAAAAAATAGAAAAAAGGACTTTATGAACTATTTTTCACATCCATTCAACATTGCTTTCAGGCAAAAAATATCTTCGTTTGAACATAAATATCTATAAAATATTGACAAAATGATGCGAGTTTTGCGAATGGAGATGTAAGCTAAAACGATTTTTATAAACAAGATAATTATAACTAAAAGACCGTGAATCACGGTCTTACTCTGAATTGGCATGGTATAATGATCTACGCTTTCAGCAATTATAATAAATAATTCTACTGACAGTATAGAATAACCAATCTTAGAACGTGGAATAGTATATCTGGTACTTATTAACGTATAATAATCTACCCTTCAAAGAACCATAGAAAATAATGCTTTGTGCAAAGCGTTGAATAATCAACCCTGCAATGTAGAATGATATACCCTTTAGTAGGCATGGTATGATAATATATCCTTCAAAGTATTTTCATATATGGTTTTACCGATAGCGTACAATAATCAATCGTAGAACGTAGAATAGTATACCCTTTAATTGCTAACGTATAATAATTTACCCTTTAAAGAACCATAGAGAATAAAGCTTTGGGTAAAGCGTTGGATAATCAACCCTGCAATGTAGAATGATATATCCTTTAGTTGACATCGTATAAGAATATACCCTTTAAAGTATTATAGTAAATAATTCTACCCATAACATACAATAATCAATCGTAGAGCGTAGAATAGTGTACCCTTTAATTGCTAACACATAATAATCTACCCTTCAAAGAACCATAGTGAATAGAGTTGTGTACAAAACGTTGAATAATCAACCCTTCAATGTAGAGTAATATACCTTTTAGTTGACATCGTATAAGAATATACCCTTCAAGGTATCGTCTAGTAGGTTGCTGTATGAAAAACGTAGAATAATCAACCATTGGCCGGAGAATACTATACCCATTAACTAATATCATACAGTGATCTACCCTTCGAGGTATTGTAAGAAATGGTTCTTTGAAAAGCATGAAATAATCAACTATTAGCCGTAGATTAATATATGTTTCAGCTAACTCGTGTAATAATGAACCTCTTACGGTACTATAATGAACCTTTCTGATGAAAACATACAATAATCAACCCTTTGCTGTAGAACAAAATATGATTTCCACAGATCCGTATAACAATCTATCCCCTGTTCTCAAATAACAAACGTTTACTGAAAATTCGTACATTAATCTACCCTGATTCGTTGAATAAAAAACCTTTAGAATCAAAATATTGGGTTCAAAAACCCTTCGAAAAGTTTGATATACCCTTAAAATTTTCATATACCCTTATGCTTATAAACCCTTGAGTTAATGAACCCTTTCAAGGGTATATGAGGTCGGAATAAACCCTTGAAGCGTTGATTAAAAAAAATTTAAAGGGCAAGCGTTGATTGTTCAGCGTTTTTTTTACATTGTATGGATGTGGATGTGGGTGTGGGTGGGTATGGATGTGGATGTGGGTATAAATGGGGATGTCTAGTTCCCTTTGTTATCACCCACACCCTCAGTTTTTTTACAAGAGTTATCTTTTAGAGCTCTGTTGAACAAACATGCATCAAATCTTTCAGATCTTGAATTGTTTGTAATGTACGGGAAAGTGATGGATGATTTTCGTGTAAGCATTGTTTTTGCATAGTGATTGCTCGTTGATAACAGGCATAAGCAGTATTATAATATTTTTTACGATGGTAACATAAACCCAGATTGTATAGCGTCAGTGCTATATGAGGATGTTCGCATTTTTGAAATAGGCTTTTCTGATCGCTTAATATATTTCTGTACAAATCAATTGCTTTATCATACTCTTTTCTCTGTTCAAAATGTAATACATGCGTTATATGTGTATCCAATTGCAAAATTGATGGGTGTTTGTCATTGTATAAATTTTTTCTTATAGCTAGCGACTGTTGGTAGTAACTATATGCGTCAGCAAACTGCATTCGATCCTCATACACATTTCCAATATGAAATAAACATTTACTTTTAGATGGATGTTTAAGATTTGTAAAATTTTGTTTAAATATTTCAAGCGATTGCTGATGATAATCGAGTGCTTTGTCGTATTCTTTTCTAATTCGATGTATTCTCCCAATCGCATCTATACACTGAGCAATCAATGGATGCTTGTCATTAAATATATTCTTACGTACGTTTAATGCATATTCGTAATTATTCAGAGCATCATCATAGTTACCCATATCGTAATAAATATCGCCTAATAATGATGTAATATCACCAAATGCTCGATGTGTTTTTGGTACGCATGCTCGATACACACGAAATGCTTCTAATGCATAATTCAATGCTTCTTTGTAATTACCTAGGCAATGATTAATATTACTTATCGAGTAGAAACCATCACCAATCAATGAATGAACACCCGGTAAAGTTTTCTGAGCTTGTTCAAGTGCATACCGATGATATTTTAATGAATTATTATAATCGCCTTTTTTTTCGTAGGTCCATGCAATACCACGTAATGTTGATGATATTATTCGATGATCGTTGTCTTTATATAGTAGTTGTTCCATATGCAGTGCATCTTGAAAATATGTCATTGCTGAATTATATTCACTTTTTTCGACATTGATACACCCCAAATAAAATAAATTGTACGCGCGAACTATATTTGTGGTTAATTTTAATATATCGATTTGTATGTGCTTTGCTAATTCATAATAATGAAGTGCTTCATCAAGTTTTCCGATGTAGTGCAATGACCGACCCAAATACTGATAGCAAATGGATCGCATTTGGTGATTATCTCGTGATAATGCATTTAACATTTTCCGAAAATATATTTCTGATCTCGAATATTCGGCAATGTCAATAAGTATGCGCCCAAATAATAGACTAGCGTCGGTTTCTTTTAGTTCCTTTTCTTGTAATTTTAAATATTGTTCAATGTAGCCTTTATCATCATCACTTGCACTTAAATGAACTGACCAAATATGTAATTCATTGTCATAAGAAACATTAATTATTTGAAATACAGCTCCAATGTGAAATAAAACTTCTTTTTCATCTGGAATTCTACTGTATTTTGTAATATCAGCGTAAATTATGCTGTTTAAATTATTCTCAACTTCGATTTGAAATAAAACACCTACTTTATTATGACAATGAGGGGCAAACATCCGTGCAACATTGATATCAGTTGTTGTAGAAAAAAAGCTGTTTGTTGATATCAAGTTTCCTATATTAAGCTTTAATTTTTCTAGTTCATCATAACACATGACTTGTCCACGATAGACGTTTAATTTCTTTTTATCATGATCCCATTGTCGTTGCTGCTTGTAAATGCTCGACAACTGTGTACAAAGATCAATGATAAAAAATCTATCTGTATACAATTCATCAATATTTTCACTTCTTAATGCACGATTAATGGACATATATAAAAAGCTTTCACTTGTATACCAAAATATAGCATCATCGCTACCTTTATACTCGCTTTGAAAACGCTGAATTTTTTCTAATTGTACTAAATTGTCTTTATAATATCTTCGGCATTCATCTAACATCTCGCTTATAGCTGATTCTGTATTTGTTGGCATGTGTTTCAATATATCGACTATTAGTTGAAACCATAAAAATGATGCCGAATCTTTTGTTATATGTCGAACAGTATTTTGTTCTCTATCACATTTGTCTTCTTTATCAATAGATAAATACATTAATTTAATATGTTGTCGACTAAATAAACGTATATTTTTCCTGATATCGCATATAAATTGTTGTTGATCATAAATTATTTTACGATAGTCTAATGAAATTCTAAATATATTGGCATTCTCATTTAAATTATCCAATGATAGTTGGTCATTATCATCCGTAAATAATAATAACTGTTGTTGTTCCTTGATATTTTGAACATATTCATAAAATAGCTTCAGATTATCAAACACATGGATACTTGATTCATTTATCTGTTCCAGGAAACATTTGATATATTCTGTTGATCTCATCGTTTCAGGGTCATAGGCATGGCTATTACTCAGCAAAATTAGTATTGGGTTTTCATTATGTGATTCTTTTGAGCTACAAAATTGATCAACCATTTTTATATAAGACCAACTGCAGTATATCAATCTAACGAAAAAGAAAGAAGTTAGATAGAGTAGCCAAAAAGTTTTTGCATTCCACCATATCTATTTATAGAAACGACACTCCATGCGTCTCTCGACATAATATATTGAAGATAGTTGTTCTGTTAGCGCAAAGGAAATTTTTATTAGATTCTCAATTGTATTATATTGCGTTTGATATTTCAGTTGGTGCTTAGTTCGCTCTTGGTTACGGATTTACAGTGAGACATCATACGATGTTCCTCTGTAAAGGTCTAACTAACAACAAGCTAATCATCAATTCTCAAATGTAATTAAGAATAACTGAGAAATCAATAAAATAACAAAGTTCGGTCTCAGTAATATACGAATGCTTGAGACCTATTAGTGGTTTTCTTCACCAATTTTCATCAATAGGAGTGAAAATTTCAGGATAATTTGAGTAACCGAGCGTATATCTATGATATAAAAATTGAACTGAATCATCATACTATAAGAAAATATTCGAAAAAATAAAGTGTGTATGTTATTTTGAGCAGCGGGATATATTCCGAAAAAGTACTATGAGGTGTATCTAGCTTATCGTATAGATAATTAAAAGGCTGACCCTTCTGACAAAACGGTTATTTTTGTAGATGCATGTTTGTTCACTGATAGGTTTCAAAGCAGGATATCACAAGAAGTGATGGTCGATGGTCTGATGCTATTCAGTCAAAGGTAAATGAATTGTAGTAATAAGCACTACTTGTAGTAAAATACAAAATGAAACAGACTTTAATTTTAGACCATTTAGTGAAGATCTTTGCATGTGATTGACTAGATCAAAATGAATCAGTCTAGTCCCTTGAGTCCTTTTATCATTTGTGCCAATATTTCATCGTTATTTCTCTACAATAGAATACATTTGGGCCGCAGCTACAGGACTGATTTGTCTCTTGAATGGATGCTGAGGTAAGACATTAATTTTGTACCGCTAGTAAAGTGGCACAGTTATGCGTCAGAGCTCAGGATTAACAACAAGGTGAATAAGACTGACTGAGAGGGTCCGGGCTAGTCTCTCATGCTGTTGAATATAGCCGCATGGATTATTTATTCACTCTCATACAGGTGTATCTCTGCCAATTCAGTTAAAGAAACGATTAAAAGCACAGTGCTGATGATTGTAACCCTTATATTGTGACGATTGGTTCTTTCCAACTTAAATGCACTGGAAGGAAGTGATTACACTGCGGCCAATGGCGTATGTACAGGATGGATCATTAGTAGTCTGGCAATAAGAAACTTAAATATACTCGCTTAGACATAGGAGTGGGAAGTTAGGGTGTGGGTGTAGGTGTGGGTATAGGTATGCGTGCGGGTGTGGGTGTGGATGTGGTTCACCATGGATTGAACTCACACATATACCCACACACTTTTTTAACACGAGCTGCAAATGTCATGGACTCTTGTCCGTAATATCTGATAGTGAAAAAGATTTTTTCTTTATTGTTGGCTGTAGTTATATTGTCAGGTGTATGCGATCTTTTATTTTGAATTATTCTTCCTTCATTAATGCCTCTTTTTACTATAGGGTGAGTGTAGGTGTGGGTGCGTATGCGAATGTGAGTTTGAGTGTTTACGTAGGCGTTCCATTTATTATTACCTACACTACCACCCGCATTCACACTCACACCCAGACACCCACACCTACACCCACACTCACCCACACACTCACACCCACACCCAGTTCAACAATAGTGTATTATAATCATCAATGTTCTTCTGCAACCAAAAGGTAGAAGAAAATCTTTTTGTTGGTTTACAACAAGGAAGACATGTAGTAATGATTATTCTTCTATTTGTTAAATGATGGTATCGAGTATAAAGAAAATTAATAACATAGTCAACTTGTTCAATAACTTCTGTTGCTAACAAATTCCTTAAGGAGTTTGTGCCGAGAAGAAATAAGAGAGAAGAAGTTGAAGATATTAAATAAGAAAACTGATCTTGTTGGATTAAAGAAAAGAGACACAATGTGTGATCGTATTTATTAATCCATTGAAGACCAGCAATAGAATAGTTTTTGATGTTATAATGAGATGTGATATTAACAGAACCTAAGCATTTACCATGACTGTCCGAAATTATCAAAAATGGTTGAACAGTAGATGCTGAATTATTCATGATCACAGATATAAAAAAATGTGAGGTGATGATGATGATCAAATGAATGAATGAATGAAAAAGAAAAGAAAAATAGTAAATAAGTGAAATCACTAAAAAAAAAATTGTAAATGTAATTTTATTTGAAGCCTTATTTGTTTGTCTCAATACAAATCATTCGAAATTACTTATAGCGTCATGATTGTAACCTATTATGTGTTGTACGGCGCCATAGTACCACATAATTTCCATAAGAGAAAGCTAATGTTATTCAAAGGACTTTTCACTTCGGTCGTAAGAATAAACATAAGTATCTATTATATCCATAACTAGAAACTATTAATATAATAATCAACAATAAAATCATGATAGAATAGAAATGATAGGTGTGATTCCGATAAATAAATAGACGACGAAACTCTTATCAAAATAACATTAGTTTAGAATGAAAGATGTAAAATATTATGTAAAACTGATCGGTCGTAAATCGCTTATATGTACTTGTGATCTTATATGCGTATACTCATCCTCGACTACATACATTGGGTGGTGAATTTCAACAACAATTTTAGGAATAGGAGAGAATTTCGGATCTAATTTTCCTTTTGAAACAGATATACGAGTAAAAACTTTATCTCCTAATTTCAATTGTGGATCAAGACGATTCTTATTATAATACGCCTGATGAGCTTGTTGTTGACATAATATATTATCACGCGAAGCCTGATGAAATATACGTAACGTCTTTTTTAGTTGTTCAAAATAATCATTAGGTTTGAGAAATGTAAATTCTTTAGGTTGTATATGAATAGGTAGACGAGCAGTACGATCGTATAATAACTCATAGGGAAAAAATTTCGTGGACTTGTGCACTCCTGTATTATAAGCAAAGACAACGGCTTGCAAGTACTCATCCCAATTGTTATGTTGAGCTTTTTGTAACTTCGAAATCTGAGCTACAAAAGTAGCGTTAAAACGCTCTGCGATACCATTTGTTTGGGGATGGTAGGGAGTACTATATATATGATTGTATCCTATGAGATTTTGTAGATTCTCCATTAACTTATTTTGAAAATGTGTTCCACGATCGCTCAAGATAACTGATCGTATACCGAACCTGCAAAAAAAATCATCAAATAAGGCGCGCGCTGCAGTTTCGGCTGTACAATTAGAAAGTGCTAATGCTGTTATATGTCTCGTAAAATAATCGGTGATAATAAGCACATATTGATTCTCACGAGGAGTCCTAGGTAATGGTCCACAAAAATCAATGCCTATTAAAGCGAATGGACCTTCAGGC